ATCGTCATCCTCTTTAATTGATTCTATTACGTCTACAAGGTGTGTTAGTCTCTCACAAATTATCTCCACAATTGTTAGTATATGAAGTCAAGCCACTAAGCTTTGCAAGCTTTACTAAAATAACTTGTTAAGAATACCTCATTATTTTGCCCAAAATGTTGACCACTTCGATGCCACTTGTCATATAGATATATTTTTCTCTTAAAATCTCATCCCTTATATAATAACCTAATCTCAATAGACTCAACTTTTCCATAATTTTTTCATTTACAAGTAGAAAGGAAACAAAATGCATAAATATATTTATAAAAACTCTTTCCCAATTTTTTATTAACTCTTAATAAAAAAAATATACACAAATTTATGTATGTGCTATGCACAAAACTTGCATAATACATAATATAATATCACAACTTATTTATAGAGTTGCTATGTGAAAGTTACAAAGGAAACCTTCCCTTTATTTCCAACATTAATTAGGCAATTTGCCTATAATTCTCCATGAACTTAATGGCATCAAAAGCATCTCCGGTCAAGCCTCATGTTTGTCCAACCATATTTCTATGATCTGACTATGTTCTCATATACATTGTCATGTTTATAACCATTGTAATCACCCAATATTATGTTGTAACTGCCATACCTATATTGTTAAAACTAACATGTTTCTGTTTGGCTTTGATAGCCCATTGCCTATGCCAATATGGAATATAAACTACCTCTATATTTTTGTTAATATCAACATGACTGTCATTTTTCTATTGCCTTGCTTGCATAGCCTGCTATTAATGTACACCTTATGCACATTTACCCTCTAATGATATCTATCTTCAAATCAAGAAACAAATATTAATTTATTATTAAATTCATATCAACCTCACTTTATAACCACCACTCCTGTCTACTATCGTCCATCTTTATCTCACTCAATTTATCATCACCCTTCCCCACTATTTATCTCCACTCTACTATCGTCCATCTTTATCTCACTCAATCACCCTTCCCCACTATTTATCTCCACCTTTTTTATGCACATAACTCATCCTCATCTACCTATTCCCACCTAGATCTAGAAACCATCAAATCCTTTTAAAAACCATCAAACCATTTTGTCAACATCCATAAATGAGCTTTTGTCTGTTCTGTTTAACAAAGTTATTAAACTCAGTATAAGACCCAAGCTTCAAGTTAGGTGAGTTAACTTAAATTAGTAAAAATAATGTTTTATTTTAAGAAAGTTAAAACAATGTCATTTGAAATATATATATATATATATAAGTCAAATCAGGTTTTTGGCTAGGTTAACTAAGTCATAAGTTGGACTCTTAGGTCATATGGGTTTAATCGGGTCAACTCCCACTTAATTTTTTTTTAAAACTCAATCCAAGCCAAGTCTTTAATCGACCCTTTAGGCTAGAAAGAGTTTAATCACATTATTAGTTGCTATACCTTCTTTGCTATAACTTATAACCACTTTCATATAACAAGTCATATTTGCAAATATACTAAAAGTGAACATCCTTTGTATATTGTTTAAGCAGTCAGAGTATGTTCTCTTTACTATATATTTTATGTCTTTGGATTTTTTTTCTTTCCATAATCTCACATATACGAAGTGTTAGAGAATATTCTGATGCAAAATTAAAAATTAATATTATAGAATATAATTTTAGGTTATAGCTAAAAAAATCAAAATCAAAATAAAAAACTAACACAAAAAGCATAGCCATTTTTCATTTCTGTTATTCAAAAAGCATGGAAATCTTTAATTGGGTCTTTGAAGTTTTGATTGATATATATTTAGTCCTCTTTTTATGATTTTATGTTCCAATCCTAAACTTTATTTTCTCATGTTTTAGTCATCAGGTGATGAGAGATGAGATATAAAGTCATCGGAAAAGAGAGGAAAGAGAAATATTTTGGCAAACTATATTTTAAACATAAGAGACCGATTTTGGTGTCAATTGGTTCATCTTAGGGAATCAAGTTTAATGAGGATGGTTTTCTTTTTAAGACTTGCCCGGAAAAAAGTAGATCTAGACTTGTTAAGTTTTTGTTTTTGTTATTTTAATTTTATTAGAGATTGGTTTCTAACCACATTAGAGGGCATTTTAGGGTTAGAAATGAGTTTATTAAAGTTTTAAAGATATTTTTGTGAATGTATATAGGAGAAAAAAAATTAAAATTTGAGTTTCTGGTTCCATAAACTTGAACGTTGATCTTTTGGTCCCAAGAGATAACTAAAAATATTCATGCAAATGACATATCATTTGCACAAGTAAACATTGTGTCATCTGTTCTATTTAAAAAACCCTTGAGCATATAACATAGTGATTGAAAAATGTTCATATAAATGACGTTGTTTGGAATTATCATCTATTCTATTTAAACAAAACCCTTGAGAGGATGATGTGTTAGTTTTTTTTTTAAAAAAATTAACAAAGCCAGACACTCGGGTATGACATTTGTTATATATATATGATCATATTTGTTTCAACTTAGTTTTTGGTTATTATTGTCTCTCACATTATTTTAAATTGTTTAGTTTATCTTTTTAAAAATAGTAATTAATCTTTTAGATTGTTTCTATAATTTCATAATTCTTTAAAGAGATTATCGCAATTTACCTTTAAATTTTTTTTCTTATTAAATTTTAGATAGACTATCTATACTTGCATGATTCATTTACAAGAATGAAAGTTATATGTACTGAGCGATCCTAATTAACCTCAAATATATATATAAAAGAAAACCTTTAAAGCAAAAAAGACAATAAAGATAAAATATTTGCATCGATATTTATGTTTTGTTTTTTCTTGATAAGTCAAGTTGGTCAACTTTTCATTTAAGTCTTTAATTAGAGTTCACAATTATTTTAAGAATTTATTAATTCATTTATTTTTCATTTTATTTTATAGAGTGCAAACATCATCTTTTCATTTTTCAATACAAAATTTTGTGATACCAAAGAATATATAAAACCAAGCCATTTTTAACAAAAACACAGTAAAACTATTGGGATTTAGTTGACTCCTTCTATTACTATTTCTTTCCAAACTAATTCTTTCAGAATTACTACATTTTGTGTGTGTGTGTGTGTGATATTTTAATATTTTCAATTATTTCCTTGTTAGGCGTTCAGGAGACATTTTATACAACACATACCTTATCCAAACACACGTGTTCATCAATTAATATTTATTTGTTTATTATTGAAATGAATTAAAAATAAGGAAACTAAAAAACACAATAGCTTTAAAGTAATGTATTCTACATTTTTATACACATTCAATTTAAATTTAAATTTGTTATTGATTTTGTAAAATATTACAAATTATATCACTTGATTTTGTGATTTTATTAGTAAAGGACTTAATTGAAAAACAATAATGGTGTAAATGACATTTTTATAGTTTGCTCTTGCACTATTATAACTTCTTTAAAATCTTAGTTACTTGGATAATTAAGAGTTACCATATCCACGACTCTTCTTCGGTCCACGCCAGGAGAATCGGCGACTAAATCTTCTCATCCGCTGAATTTGGCACGAGAGTTTTTCAAGTTGTTTCTCTAAGAGAAATATTAGAGAATTTCTTAACCTATAATTTCGTCATGCATATTTTAGAAAAATCTTATATATATATAAACTATCTAAATCAAGAACAAAAATCAAATAAATTAATTTTTTTGTATGTTTTGAACATTTTAAAAAACAATCATAACCAAACTCTTAAATAAATTCTAAATGTTGCCACTAATTTGTAACTCGATAATTTGGGTTAGAAAAATAGAAAAAGATGGATAATAATGTTAAATTATTGTTATTTTATGTGTTGATAAAGGATTTAGTTTATGTTGAAATCTAATGAATATGGTAATAGTGTTTAGTTACTATCCTAAAATAAAGAAGATAGAGACAATAAAAATAAAAAAGACTAAACAAAATAGAAAGAAAAGATAAAATTATATTTGGTAATGTTTGTATAAGATAAAGTGATAGTTTTTATGTCTTGTATTTTAATTGATGGTAAACAATATAAAATAAAATATAAAAAGTTTATTTTACTCCTAGTATGTTATTATCAAATTTACATATTAAAAAAAATAATTTGAGTATGGAAAATAAATAAATAAAAGTTATTTAGCACTAACCATAAAATATAAGGGTTTGAGTTTTTTTTTTCTTATGTGTACACACACACATATATATATATATTAGATTTGAAGTCAATGATTCACATTTAGATGTGGAAAACGAGAGGATACCTCCTTTTTATAAGGAATCAATCACCCAAACATTGGATGGTGATTTTGGATTAGATTTTAATATCCAACTAACTGCATTCAATTGTTAAACAAATCCCAAGAGTAAAACTATTAATTAATTTCTTAATTGGCGTCAAAGGTTAATTAATTATGATAATCCTCTTAACACATATGAAGTATGTTTTAATCGTCTACTCATGAGTCATGACCATTCCGTGCCAGAGAACTCGTCAACTTTCCTATCTTCTCACACAACGCTTTTATCGTGAAGGGTGAAAAATATGAACGGATTTATTTGAGAAATTGTTGGGAACGAAGGAATATACATATACATATACATATATACAGACATGCATACGCACGCGCATATATATATATATATATATAAAAAATTGATTCCTATGTTCTAATCACAACTAATTAATGACGTGTGAAGGGTGAGAAATATAAATGGATTTATTAGAGAGATATTCTTGGCAAGGAAGGAGTGTATATACACTTCTACGTATCTCACTAGTAAATCCATGGATATATATAGAGTATAATTTAATCTAACAATTTCCTTAATGGATATTTAATTTTTTGAACTAAAACAAAAATCATCAGAGCATCTTATCCTGTCAGTTATTCACTACACGTAGAACTCATCAACTAGGCCAGCCTTTGATCTCTTTCTCTCTCTATATATATGTATGTATGTGTGCATCCTCTTCTCTATCTCTGATAAAGTCTCCCTGAGATTATTGATCTGCTAAGATGGTGTCTGCTGAAGCTGCTCGTAACGTTGTTGGGATTATCGGTATATTTTCTTTGTTCAACCTTCTGTACCCTTTCCGCGCCACTCCATCTGAATATACAACCTTCTCAGATTCGAAAACTAGCTAGGGTTTTACGTTTTCTCTTCTGTTTGTCATGCTTCTCATACAGTTTTGATGTTTTGTTCTTAGGGATAAAAGCTTTTGTGACCGTTTTTCTGACACACATTACATATATATGTTCTTGTCTTTACCTTTCTTCTTCCCTTATGACGTCCTATGAATCTACTTTAAGGTCTTTAACAGGCATTGTTTATACGTCCCAGTGGAGATTAACTTACAAAAAAATAAAACTCATTGCATAGGTTGGAGATTAATTTTGAAAAAAAGATATAAAATAGGTACAAAAATCATTAACACCATTTAATTGACCTTTGATGGATATTTCTTTTCCTTCATTCTATGAAGATAATAGTTAATGGAGAATCTGGCAAATTTGTCTATGGGAAGGGGAAGGGGAAGGGGACGGGGACGGGGACGGCCCTTAATTACTCTGTGTACTTAACTACCTTACGGATTCATGATTTTTTTTTTTTGGAAAGATTAGGAATTTATATTGCAATTTTTTATGTTCTCCTTTTTGTAACGTTTTGTTTTTTTTTTTTTGTTTTTGGCAGGGAATGTCATCTCCTTCGGCCTATTTTTATCTCCAGTGTAACATCTCAGACCATCCATATCCATTTATTATATGCATTTTCAATGTATTTATGCGTTCATCTATTAGTGTAAATATCATTACGATCATACATTCAAGTCCATTTATATTGCATGCATGTATGCAAAGTATGTTCAATATTCAGTTTCAGAAATTGAGAGATTTGCAAATCATTTTTCAAAGCAATATACAGAAACCATTCTGAGCCCAGCACCATCGATACCGCCTTCCACACAGACACACAAAAGAAATTGTTTTTGTTTTTTTTGCTGTTTTATTATCACGACAAACGCAAGCAGTGATATGTATATGGTAGACAGTACTAGTCGTCAGCTGCGTTTTGATTGAGTTAGTTTGCTTACTGTGGTCATGTGATTTTCTCTATCTGCTCGATGGGCTAACATCTGTTCGACAAAACATTGGATGCAGTCCAACATTTTATCGCATTTGTAAGAAGAAAGATGTGGAAGAGTTTCAACCTTATCCTTATGCTGCGACGGTGTTGAACTGCTTGTTTTGGATTCTCTATGGGCTGCCGATAGTTAAACCAGACAGCACTCTTGTTGTGACCATTAACAGTGTTGGTCTTGTATTGGAGCTGATCTACTTGAGCATATTTTGCATTTTTGACACGCAGAATAAGGGGCGGGTAAGTTCCAGATTTTTCCCTTTTCAAGTCTTAGCTTCCAACCTACGGGTGGTGACGTTTTTCTTTCTTCCTCGTTGTCTTTTGCCAGAAGAAGGTTTTTATTGTGCTTTTTGGCGAAGTAATCTTTATGGCCGCTATTGTTGTAATCACTTTGCTAGCTTTCCACACTCATGAGAAAAGAATTCTTTTTGTGGGAGTTTTCTGTGACATCTTCAACATTTTGATGTACGCTTCACCTCTTACTATAGTCGTAAGTCTCTCTTCACATCCAATTCCACCAGCCATGGCATGCATGGCCTGATTTCCTCTCTAACACTCTGTGCTTTAATGCCATGGCCTGATTTCCTCTCTAACACTGTGCTTTAATGCCATGGCCTGACTTCCTCTCTAACACTCTGCTTTAATACATATCCACAGAAAAAGGTTGTGACCACAAGGAGTGTGGAATTCATGCCATTGTCCCTTTCATTGGCCAACTTCCTTAATGGCTGTGTCTGGACAGCTTATGCTCTCATCAGATTTGATATATTCATGCTGGTAAATTCAATATCTGCAAATGTTCCTGATATGGATAGCTAGACTGGTCTGAATCATAAACGGAATTGACCTAATTAACTACACGCATCAACTTGGTCTTTGCAGGTCAGCAATGGTCTTGGAGCTTTCTTTGGTTTTCTCCAGCTCGTCCTTTACGCCTTCTACTACAAATCCACTCCTAAACGTGGTAGTCAAGATGTGAAGCCATCTGAGATCCAGCTCCCCGCTTCAGATGCAGCCTCCAGAGCATGAGGCATGCAATTTGATCTCACCGACCCTGCCCTTGAAGTTCCAGTTTTTGCCTGCAATAACTTTTATTTAATCAACTTCTCTCTTTGGCATCGATGCTCACCTTTGGATTGTCAGGGATATATATACTTCTCATTTTTGGTTTGGGTGAAATGCTGTAGTTGAGTTCTTGGGATATTTTCAAGCTCATTGTGGATTTCACTCGGTTAAAATGTCAAGTTTTGGGTTTTTAAGATCCACAAGCATGAATTCCTTACCTAATTTCTTCACTCCCAACATTAAGTAAGGCAATCAACAGCAAGTTCAAATATTGGAAGAAGGCAGCAATAAAATATTTTGCCACATAGAAAGTAATAGTAAAGCGCTTGGTTCATGAGCCAGTCGATGCCCCAAATATATACACAGAATTCCCAATCTCCCTACAACTAGGCACACCTAAATCAAAACTCTAACAATGTATAAAACATCAATTACATATCATGTACTGAGCTTTGCAATCATATCTTCTACTAGCCTAAGTGCTTTTGTTCCCATTACTTTCTCTCCCTCTGCATCAATTTCTTGCATAATCTGCTCTACAAGCTCATGCTTTGATTGTTTAGCTCTTGACCGATAACTTGTACAGTCCCTCAAAAGCAGCAATAGCTGTTTAGCTTTCTCCTTAGCCCTCCATGTTCCATCCACACTCAACTGAAGCAGCCCTGGAATCACCCCTTCCCTTAAAATCAGCCCTCTGTACTTATCTCTGCAGCTCTGGCAGATGAGGAGGAGAATTCCCACTGCATGCTCTTTGCATTGGGGAGTACCCTCTTCAATTGTTTCTACGAATGCCCGAATTGCATCTCCTGCACCAGAAGTTTGAGCCAGTGCATTCTCTGACGAAGCAGTGATATCTTCAAGAAGTGCCATTGCCTTGTCAACCAACTCCGAGGACTTTTCGTAGCTGTGAATAAGTTGAAGCAAGGTAAAAACTATACCAGAGGAAACTATTGATGGAATAATCTGATGGCAACTTGAGAGATTGTGAAGAGTTGCTACAGCGTCAAGTTTGGCCCGCATGCTAATGCCGTCTGTGTCATCATATTCTCCTCCGAGGATCTTAACAAGAACAGAGATAGCCCCAGAAGCAGCGATTGCGAGCTTGTTCGCCCCACAAGAAGAGATTACTAGGAAAGCTGCTATTATGAGTTCCGTCAGTGACTCGTTTTGACTTTGGAGGAGCTCTAGCAGCGCTGGTATCAACCCCAATTTCACGATTCGGATCTTGTTTCTGGAAAATTATCAAGTTTAATCATCTATCAAAATCTTTTCTCCTGATTCCGCTAATTTTGTTGTTCCCATCAAGAAGACTACCGTGTCTAATTTTCTGCTACTAGTGCAGTTTCGTCATTCTGGTTGGGCAAAAATGCAATCAACAAAGAGCACATACTCACACTGTTGTTCCCTACAAGCAAATAAAGAGAATTTGCCTACAAAAGCGTTGTGCTTTTTATAGCAAGCAGGCGACATTCTATTTGGTACGCAGATAAAGGTCATATGCGATTTATCTCTTTTGTTTGTGCACCACACTCAATATACATTGGATAAATAAACCTGTAACGGATTGAAAGGGAACGATAGACTAACCTTTCATTGCCAAAGGCAAGGCTGAGCAAAGCAAAGAGGGCAGCTTCAATGGCTTCATAATCTTGAGACTGAAGCATTGAAATCAAAGGAGCAATGACTCCTCGTTCAGCCAGCTTATGCCTTTGCTTAGCATTAAGTTTTCCAAGTTGAGTGGCAGCCTGAATCCTCACTTCTCTGTTCCCATTGCAAAGATTTTGAGCTACAAATCCCTCCATGGTATCTCTGTTTCTCTCGTGTAACAATAATTAAGGTGCTAGCTAGTATTATATTGTTGCGTAGTGAAGTTAATATTGATATTGGTATATATTGGTGGTTGCTTGAGAATGTGATGTTAGTCTTTTGTGGGTATCCGTTGTTTCATGTTGAAGCAACTTCTCGCTCTTTATTCAGCTTTTTTCTCGAATCTCTAATTGGGAAATACAACAACAATTCCTAAGAGTCTGCTTTCCTTTTACAGAAGCAAGTGCCTTTTTCCTGCGGTTTTTATGTTTTTCCATCTCCATTTCTTGGAGAATTATTCCCAAATATCATGTGTACGGATCCTATTGGGTCTTGTTTAGATTGATTTTGGGTCTCTATATTCTTTTCCCAGGATTCTTTTTATTATTATTGGACATGATATTATTATCTTTATTGGCATAATGATTAAAGTATTAGTAAATTGACCACTACGTTACGAACTTACAAACATGTACATACGGACATGTGTGATGTCTCTTCAGTGATCGTGGGACCTGCTCTACCTTAAGAAGAAATTAATGAACAACGGTAACAACAAAAAAGCAAGAGAGCTTAATTTCATACAGCTCAAGTTGGAAAGTTGAGAGGGATTCTGTCATGAAAGGAGCCCTGATGACTTGGATGAAAGCAGGCAGCCTCTCGTCATGAACATCATGACTTTGGAGTGTTTCTCGTGATCCAAAGATGACTAATGGGATATTGTAGAATTCTTTCTCTCCAAATTACGGGAAGTGGCAGAGAGCAAGGTAGGAATATTTAGGACTGGAACTGAAAGTAATCACAGTCACGAGACAATAATTTTTTAAGGAATTTGTCTGCTTTTCTTGAGGAGCTATATGGCGGCATTGTCTTTACGGAAAATACTTCTCAAAATGCCCCCCGACATTGCCTTTCCATATGCTTTGATCACTACCAGACCAAGAACGTTGATGCTCTTAAATTTCTAAATGCAGTTCTGATCCCCACTTTCTGGTGTTTTTAGCTCAAAAAGAGTTCTGATGTTGGGGATGCATCTAGTACGAATATTATCAATGAATAATAGCCCAAAATCAATTCATGAGACCCAAGAAAGAATAGGGTTTGTTTTGCTGGAAAAATTAAGAGGAGGAGGAGGAGGAGGGTGGAGCTCAACTCCTTTTTTCACCATATCTCCCATGCAAGAGAAAAAACATGCTTATCATTCTAACCACGCAAGAAAACTCATTGTGTATAAACCCACATTAATCATGAAATAGCAGAAAATAGAAGGACATGAAACTCTTGAGCCTACTTCACTACCAAATATATTACAATTACTAATTAAAAAAAAACTTATTACCCTAAAAAACTATTAGGCCTCACAAACTATTGTGAAAATCCACATAAGAAGGCAAACTTTTTCACTAAACCTATCACGACGAGCATCAAATAATAATTCCACAACAAGATTAATGTTGGAAGAATACATAAAATAGCCACAATATATACATTCTAATAACACTAGCAACATGATATCTTTCCTTTACCAAGAAAAGAATCTTTCATTAAAAATAATACTTCAAATTCCATTCCAATAAAAATAAAATCCTTTAGAAAAAAGTATGTTATTTTAAATAGAATATGCTAACACATTTCATTCTTATTTAAAACGCGTGGGACACCAGGCAATTACCAATTTAACTTCTATCACCTCACCAATTTAAGTCATAATTTAATAGATTATAATAATGGGAGAGATTAATAATGTAAAAAGAATTTATATGTTCAATTCTTTTAATCTTTTAATGTATTTGTTTTGAGTGCCCTTATCACTAGTTACTAATTAAAGACGAAAATGTTTAGATATGCATCCATTTAGCCTATTTAACACATTTCAAATCCAAAGTTGTTTATTAAACCTATTCTTCATCACTATTTTAAAGATTTATATATTAAATATTTTTTAATGTATTTTTTTAGTGACCTTATCACTTGTTAAGGACTAAAATGTTTAGATATGTATACATTTAACTTATTTTAACATATTTCATGTCATAACCTATTTAACATTTTTCTCTCTTTAAAAAATATAAAAAAATATTATTAAAAAATATAACAATAAAAAAAGGATTTTAGAGCACTCTAAAAATGGTTAAAAATTGATTGAGAAGGTTCAAAATTATAAAGATTACAATACGACAATATTTTATTGACTGATGAGAGTCTTGTTGACAAAAAAAATTCAATTTGAGGAAAAAAAGTTCAAAATCAGATGTTTATGGACTCAATTAAATATTATTGAAGGTTTAATTGAATTTATGACGGTTTTGATTGCAAGAAAAATTAATTTTGGAGTTGATTTTGGCTTTAATCAGAAGAAATTAAAGTTCTAGGGTCAAATTATAATTTTTAATAGTTAATTTAATCAAATCAGGGGCTTAGTTGCATAAAGATTGAATTTTGATGGCTAATTAGGGACTTAATTGAAGAAATTCGAAACTAAGGACCAAGCTGAAAAAGACATGTAAATAGAGAGGCTGTAATTAAAACCGAACGAGGGGCCCAACTAAAAAAATTAAAAGTTTATTATTCAATTGAGGGTCAAATTGCATAAGTTCAAGACCAAGGATTAAAGTAAAAAAGACGGTCAACTTTAAGGCTGCTATTTGATTTTTGGCAGGAATGCAATTGTATCGATTTTTTTAATCAAAATTGTAATTTAGAACTTGATTGAACAAGTCATAAATTGATAACTGATTTATATTTTGACATTAGTTTGGCGTTGTTTTTATTTAAATGAAATGACGTATTTTACCCAAAAAGGTGTCATTTCATGCACTATTCCTAAAAAAAAAGGAAAGCTCGAAACAGTGCTCTTGTGAACAGCACCATATGTCTTCTTCTTCCCCTGGATGTGTGAAGCAGTGGAAGAAGAAGACTTTTTCCCGTATTCCACTTCCAGCTCTCTTTTAAAAAGACACCAACCAACCCCACTTAGCCGAAACTTTTCACGTGTTGGAGAAAAGGAAGGAGATGTGTTCCTCGGGAAGTTTTTAAGGCGACAACATAGCGGCAGCCCTAGCCACATCCTTCCCCCATTTTTGCCTATAAAAATAGGGGGCATGATGAAAAAAGAGACACAAGAGAAAAGAGAAGGCAGAGAATAGAAAAGAGAAGAGAGAAAATAGGAGAAGAAAACAAAAGAAAAAAATAGGAGGGAGAGGAAGAAAAAGGAGAAGCATTGCCACCACCTCTACCACTGCAAGCCTCCACTTCTGCCACTACAAGCCACCGCCGACGATAGCAGCCACATATCCCTTTAGCCGAGTACATCTCTTTCCTTCTCTACTCCGTCCATTTTTTTTCCTTTTATTAGCATGTCCAAAAAGGTGTCATTTCATGCACTATTCCAAAAAAAAAAGGAAAGCTGGTCCGTTTCATTTTACATGTTGGGCCAGTGCTGGTCCGTTTCATTTTATGTTGGGCTGAAGCCAACTAAGCTAGCCGGTTTATTTTGATGTTGGGCCGGTGCTGGCCCATCATTTTTTTTTTTATGTTAGGCCGTGCTGGTCCATTCCAAATAAATATACCATAAAACTATAAATCTGGTATTAAAATACCCGGTTTTCTTCAAAACTTCCAAACATACAAAAAAATTTGAAAAAATAAAAAATATTTTTGTGCATGCAGCCAAGTGTCTCAAAGCTAAAAAATCATATCGTGTTTTTTATACATAAAAAAAAATATCTTAGCATGCATTTTAGCTTTAATAACTAGTTTATTAAAGTTAAGAAAACATTGACCAAAATTTCAAAAACAACAAAAATTTTATTTTGTTTTGTTTTAGTATCAGAGATTACGAACTTATACATTAAACGTATTCTCAATATTAAAAATGTATTTTTTTACGACATAAAACAATTAGGTTCTTACCCGATAACATAAGGATTTGTTTATAGATGAGGGCTTTTCTTAAACTTTAGACAGACCAATAATTAGAAACCATAACAAAACCTTAGAGTTATCAGACAAAACAACGCATCTTATCTTAGGTATTGCATATTTGACATGTTAATATCTTCTTTTAACGCAACTAGTCTCCATACCCCATCTTTGAGACCAGTTAGGGTTCCTAATAACCAGAATATTAGGCGGCAACTCTCGTTCTAATTTTTCACTGATAAAAGATAAGAATTCTTTGTCTCTTTATATTTTGCCAGAATATATTATGCATCTGTTTATACTTATAAAATTTTTTAAGGGTGGATGATCGTCGCGACTCCGCACACGTGCGACATTTCAAATCCAAACTTGTTTACTAAACCTTTTCTCATGGCTATTTTAAAGATCACTAATCATCAACATATTATAACCAAATTACTGGAATGATATATTCATAAATACTTATCTCACTCAAATGTCATGTTAAAATCATGAATAATTGTATTTTTTATACCTTAAAAAATATATAAGAATAAAATAACTAAACTAGTAATATAATTGTATCGTGTATATGATGCTTTGTCCTAACTTATTTTATTGGATTTAGGTTTTTATGACACTCATGCTCTAAATAGCTAGAAATGTTAATTTTTTAATTTTTTATTCTTTCTATGCTTGCATGCCATGAGGCTTAATTTTTTTTCATTTGTAGTTAAGCTCTAAAACAAATAATGTTATGCAATTTACTCTTCAAATAAATGCAATTTACTCTTCAAATAAATAATCTTAGCAAATTAACTATATATGGTATTTATGATTAAGTCATAGATATCCCTTTAGAAAAAATAGATTATTCATATCATGTAGTACTTGAGCATGAAAAAGTATCCCTATCACAACTCGTTGGGTTTCCAACAACAATCTTCACCATCAATCTTGGTATCATCCATATATTATTACACTTAGGATGTTCTTCCATATATTGATCAAGATAAAATTTAATTAAATCTAGTCTTACATTGTGCTATTTTTCATGTAAATTTAAGGGGTTTATTGAGATTTTAGAGCTTGGTATATTAGTACTATGTTGCTCATGCTTGAATATAAATATTAGTTATGGATATGTATTTGAGTGCTAAACTTATTTAATAAATATTTTAGGCGCAAGGTAATGAATACATTAAGCTTATGCAGCAGATTACATGAGTGTATTGACAAAAGCAATAAAGAATAGCCAAATTGACACAAACCATTTTGCATTACCAACCCATTTCTCTTTGGTTGGGAGATTGAGC